TCGGTAATCTCGGTTAACACTTACAAAAAACTTCGGACCTGTTACATGGATTGTACGCCGGATCTGAAGCGCTGACATAGGACTGCTTGCTTTGCGCTGTCACTTGTCATCGATCATCTCCTGGGGGGTTCACGACATCCGCGCATGATTGGTAAGATACGTATGATGCAGATGTCTCCAGCTCTAGCATCTTCCTCAGCTCGCTCTGTCTTTCCCGCGCTGGCACCCATTGACGGCTGAGTTTGATGGACTCAGAGAGAAGAATGGAACCCTGCTTCGTCAACAACATTCTGGTCTTGTGCCCAGACGTGTCTTCGACACATCTGAGGTAGGCCTAGCAGAGACCCCGGGCCCCCCTTTCCAGAGGCGCTCGCTGAGCGCCCCATGTAACGGTCACACTGGCCTTCTCGGCCCGTCGTAGTTCTAGAAAAATCAGCTTGAATCACCCGATCGCACTCCATTTTGGGTAGCTACGCCTTGAGCGTGTCACGTCTGGGCACGAGACCAAAGATCGTCTACCGTGGATGATGTTGCCGTGATCTCAATCTGACCGATCTAGTGGCGCATGAACCTGTCATCCATCCATCGATTATCCGTAGGCTCCCCCGTCAGCTTCCGTGGGCAATCACATGCACACCTCCATCTCAAAGATCACATTCACCGCTTCATCAAAAATGATAGTTGAAACCTTACATGGTCACACGGTCATCTTGAGAGGAGACCGCTACCCATTTGGCTCCGAACCAAGCTTACAGAGTTGCTGACACCGGTCGACATATCAAAACAACATCCAACCTGTTTACCCTTTGACAAGAGCAATTTCAGAAAAACCAGACCATACAGACATTCCATCATATAACTGCACTAAACTGATAAAATCACCGGACATGCCATGCGTGTCGGCAGACGCAAGTATCAGAACTTATCCCGACCTGATCTGAGAGCTGTGAGACTTGATGAACGCAACGGACTCGCTGACCACTTCCTTGTGAACAGGTTCATTATGCAATTCATGACATGCGTCCTAAACCCCATTTTATGAGTTCAGCGTCGACTTTATGAAACTCCGATGATGGGAGACGGACCGGATAAATGACTAGCTTCTTATCCTCCACAGGAAGCTTGTCAAAAAATGCCTGTGTCGACGCAGGATCTGAAACCTATTCTTCACGGTTACTTTAGATCCAAGCGGCTTTGTAATTGGCTTACCTGGTCAGCCGTTCCTTGAAGTATAAGTAGCTGATAAGCAGAATGAGTAAGCACGGATAATTACTGACGAATATCAAGACTTACCGGAAGTCTAGGAGGCCAGAGCTGATAATCCTTGTCGAGGAGGGCAGCGCCCTGTAGTCACTATACAGTTCTTTGTGATTCGCATCCACAGGAGAATAGGCACGTACACCAGAAATAAGATCCCCAACCGACCGGAAACTACCGGGCATACCCACGAGCGGGTCTTCCACATAGGCTTTGTTAGTTTGTACATTTCGCGAGAGATCCTAGCGTAATATGCAGTCATTGCATAAAGACGAAGGGCAGAATAGATACCTGAGTCTTATTCTTGACCGGCACTAGCATGTTGGGAGCAACCAAGGCCACCAATCTACCCACAGAGCGCACAATTGTAGACGGTGGTTTGGTGAGATGAATGGTGGGGGCACATCCAATAATTCCCGATACAAGAGACGTAGCCGCTTTCGCTGAGGGTGGACTGTCGCGTGAAACGAAGCTGAACGCTAAACTACCACCCTGCAAAACGAGTACGGGACACTAATATGAAGTACGGCTACCTGAATGCTTTAGAGACGCGTACCATTGAGAAGCCCATGAGGAATAGAGGTAGTTCGTTGAACTGCGTGCGTACATGTTGAACAGCCCATTCCAAATCCTCCAACTGAAGTGTCCGGCATGTTCTTCCATAGGCACTGTCCTTGGATTTGTGTTCAGCATCTAAAGCAGTCCGTCCAAAGCCACGTTGGTCATAGACAAACACAGTAACCCCGTTCTCTGCAAGGGAGGAGTGAAAATCCGTATAGCGACCAGCATGTTCAGCTGCACCGTGTATGAATACAATGGACGCAATGGACGAAGCTGCAGCATATGTTCGTGTGTAGAAATTGGTAGAGCGAGGACCGATAAGCCAAGCCTCCGAATATCTTGCCATAGGTGAATTGGATGCCGTGGACGGAAGTTGACTGAAGGATCACCCATGGCGTACTAGCACTCACGCTGCTAAATAGGCCAATCACTTGTGGTCAACATGATAGACAGGACCCCGAGGACACAATCTCTCACCCTCAGGGACCTCGACTCAGTTTACTAGCTGCGATCGCTCTCGGCGAGTTTGACTGGTATAGTGTTTTCATCAGAGAGCTTGAGCAAAGCAGACTTGAAGATTGTCGCTACTTTTGTAATCAGGAATGTCCCCAGTATTTGGGAATCGGGTCGCGGTCATCATCAAAACAATGTCTGTAAATGTGGCACTTATCAACCTGTTATAATCCTGGTGTGAGTATGTCTTCATAGAAAAGCACAGATATGCAAACTGTGGTCTCCAGTAAACCCCAACCCGGCTCAAACTTGAGCTTATCTGTCTGGACAACGCGCCATATCGGATTATCTTATAATTGTATGGTATAATAGTATGCTGATGGTAAATTTGATCTCCACCGAATTATGTGGGAGATTTCATATTGGCCTTACAAGGCCTATAAGGCGCGTAAGATAATAGCTGCATAATAAAGAAGGCCAAATTTGGCAAGGTCTTGCAAGGGCCCAGATTCATCGAGCGCAGAGGTCTCTCAGCAGACATAATTCACTATCCATTTTGTCACCTTGAAATACATAGAAATCAGACACATAATGTGGTGTAAGTGTGCGCGTTTTTGCCTGGTGTGACTTATATCCGCTACGCAAGTTCGCATGATACCGGTCTCCTTCTCCACACTCATCAGAACAGGCGCATGGAACGCTTTTCGGGGAGATGAGATATAAGTCATATGATGAATTCAGTGAGTTTATTGTGCTTATCAGAATAGTGATTTTGCTTAATGTGACGGAATTAGATGGAATCTCATCCTTTAATAATGCTGTTGTTCGTGCTAAGCAGGATTATAACAACTCGAAGTGCACTAGGCGCTGGCGAGACTAGACCCCGCGCGATATGGAGACTATTTCACGGCTAACACTGCTCGTGCTGGTTGGAAATGTATTTGAAAAGGACCATTATTACCATGAGATTAATGCTGCATATATACACTGGCGTGAAATATCGGCGTACTGACTTCACAATCAGATCTTTGTGAAGTCAGCGCGACAGCTACGGGCGTTTTTTTCCTATTTAGGCAACACATCCCCCCCAAAACAGCTGTGTACTATGTAATGATAACGAATAGTGGATATGAGGGAGACCAATGCGAAATTGCATTCGCGGCTATGGGTAGGATAAGGCAAAAGCACAGCAAATCCCACGACATTATGTATCCAATTTCCATTCTAAGGTGACAAAATGTATCCCGAATTATGCCCGTGGAGAGACCTCTCTGCGCTCGGTGAAGATATAATATATCTATGGCAAGTGACACAGAGTCTTCTCGCAACCAGTGAGAAAATCTTATTGGTTTGTTAGCGTTATCGAACAACCCATTCCAAATCATCCAATGGACTCCGTCGTCCGGCATGTCCTTCCATAGACTCACACTGTCCTTTAGTTTGTGTTGAGCGTCCGAAGCATTCCGCCCAAAACTACGTTGGTCATAGACAGACACAGCTAGGGGGCGCGGGATTGGACGTTAGACAACAGAGCAAGAGAAATATATACATATCATTGAAAAAGGCGGGGAGATGCTACATATTATTGAAATCCACTCACCATTGTGTTGTCCTACAAGGCGGATGAGGAGATTGCTGGTGTTTCACAGCCCCGATTGCCTGTTGTCTGAACCACTCCCTTCTACAATTGCCTTCACAAGCGGCGCCGTCGCCTTCCTCGTCGCATGCGCATTCTTCTGCTTCCACACACGCACCTCTATACCCGGTCCAAACCCAGCATCCTCCTCCGCCCCCACCTTCGCCCACCTCCTCTCCTTCAGCGCCAACTCTGCACTCCCTTCCAGCCCACGAACCAAGCGCGTCGCCAGCTCGCGCTCGCCATCATCGCGCACACGGATAGTCCACAGCTGCTCGCGGCGGTGCTTCCCGTGCCCGTGCCCGTTCGCCTTCCCCGCCTCCCGGAACGAGGTGAGTACGCCCAGCGCCGCGAGTCCGCGCTCGTCCATCCACGCCTGCGCCGCGTCGGCGAACGCGCCTCCCTCGCGGGGGAGCCACACGCCCAGCGCGAGCGGGACGGACGCGAGCCCGACGCGCAGCACGGGCGTGGGCGCCCAGGAGGGGGCGAGCGCGTACTCCTTGTAGTCGCGCCGGAGGAGGTCGCGCGTGCCGAGGTGCGCGACGGACGCCTTTTTGTGCTGTAGCGTGTCTGCAAGCGTGCGGATCGCGGGGGACGCGTGGAGCGAGGAGGATGTGGCAGAGAGGGTGCTGCGGGGGGCGAGGAATGCCGCGGCGCGGTGGTCCGCGTCGACGGCCTTCCCGCCGGGGACGAGCCCACCCGTGTCGACGAGGATCGCGGCCAGGAGGAGCGTCGCGAGCTCGGGTGGAACGCGCTCGGGACAGTGCTCCTCGAGGAGCTGTGTAACGAGCGAAGCGCAGCTGCCGACGCCCTTGACGACGATGCGGGGGTGTGCCTCGCCGCGATAGAGGCCCTCGTCCTCGTGATGGTCGACGATGGCGACGACACGTGCGACGGGATTGTCCACGCTGAAGAGTTGCGCAAGGCGGTTGTGGTCAACGAGCGCAAAGCGGGTGGAGGGGAACGGAGCAGATGGGGCTTGAGGGACGTCGTCGACGCAGAGGAGGTCGTGCGCGTCGACATTGGCGAGGGCGAGAGCGTGCTCGTTCTCTGCACGGAGGTGGAGGTCGCTGCGGGGAGTTTGGACGAGGGGAACGGTAGGCGAGTGGCGGATTGTGCCTGCATACCACGCGTAGGCAATAGCACTGGCCGCAGAGTCGAGATCTGGGATGGGAGAGGGAGATCGGAACTGCGTCACTGCGAATTTTATTCGAATTTTGCCTACCACCTGCCTCGTTGCCCATCGCCACGGTCCATTCCCCACCCTTTCCAGCCTTCACTGCGTCGATGTATTCCCGCTTGGTCTCGCGTAGGAAATCAGGGAGCGATCTCGACGCACTTGCGGCCGCAGGATCAAGCGCATCTGACTCCATGGTGACGCGGACTTGATGGAAAAATCTGGGGAGCAGGCTGTTGAGTAGCGATGGAGAAATAATATGAGTTCGCTGGTCTACTGCGATACCGATGCAAGCTCGGAGATGGATGGGGTCACAGCGGCGAACGCGCCACGCACGGTACAACCGCGCGCTCGAAGATGGGAATTGATATGTCGACGCCGTCTGTTCTGCACACAGCCGAGAAATCATGTAAGTTTGAAGCACTTGAGCGCAGAAACTCAAGTCATGAGTCAGGGCAACAGACCTTCAGTCAGGCCGGACAGGTATGAACGTCAAATTCGTCAAATTCGCTAGCAGCTCCGTTGCAGCGCGTTTGGCCCAGGCGCTCAGTCGCTTGTTCTCTTCTTTCTCCTTCTTTCGACAGAGGGCGCTGCTTACTCTACGCAACTTACTTAGTCAGATCTTTGTTGCACGAAATTAATGTCGATATTCTTTACTGGGTACACATCCATCACGACGAGCGAAATAAGTGGGGCAAAGGAGCAAAGTGAGTTGACGTGGTGTCACTGCAGAGGGCTATTTATTTACTTGCAAAATACTTCTCACTTGCTACCATCGCTTTTACACCACTGCAGACGTTTCGTTAGGCGATGTATGTATAGGTTAGTGAATGCGGGGAGATCGTATTCGCCCTGTTAAAAACGCTGCCACAGATTAATGTCCTCGGCTCGACGCTTGATTCTTGTGGGCTCAAGCCCTGATTTCCATATCACTGAGAGGCCCTTTTAGCAGAGTCCGAGGGGCTCAGTCTTTTCAGGTTCAATCCTTCTGACACTTTTTCACAACAATGTCGTAAGTAAGCTAGTTCAGGATATCTGGTATCAGCTTGCCGATGCGCCACCTTGCTAATGCGAGAGGTTGAGACGCACGTATACACAGACAAGAAACATATTTGGCCATAAAAATGACCATTGTAGCAGACTTTTGATCCACATGCCATGAATTGGTCTCGTCGGGTTTTCGCATCAATTTCAACATGGCAGACCTCAGGTGCTACTCTTGCATAACATGGTAAGTAAATTTAGTGATTTGCTCCGCTCAATAGACTCTGACGGACTAGGATAAGAGATCGGAGCCACATTGCGATGATGATGCTTTCTTTATAAATGGTGTCCTAGGATCCATCCGAGAGTGTCTACCCCAAGCACCGCGACTCACAGCCTCGCATGCTCACTCGGACCTGGAGGCACACCGCTAGGGTTGTACCTCAATGCATCCTTATTGAGGTGCACGTCCTCCTTGATGGAACGATAACCCGCAACTGTCATCGTGATATCCAGATCCTGTCGAGTCGTTGAATCACTACGCACACAGGAGTATAATGGCAGATGCAATCGGGCTCACCGCAAGGAGACTCTTCATAACGTGTCTGCAGCCGGCCTCGCCTTCGTGGGCCATGCCCCAAACATACAGCCGTCCGACCTCGACAGCGTGAGCACCGAGTGCGAGGGCCTTGAATACGTCTGAGCCTGTACGCACGCCCGAGTCAAATATGATCGTCATTTCTACAGTGACACCGTCAGAAAATAAAATCCAATGAGTCGAGACACCAAACGTACTGTCCTCAACAGCCTCCACAATCTCTGGGAGGACTTCCAAGCTCCCAACCGCACCGTCGACCTGGCGGCCTGCATGATTCGTTACGACAATACCGTCGCAGCCTGCCTGGTGTGCCTTGATCGCGTCCGCGGCACTCTGGATGCCTTTCAAGACAAAGGGACGCCCGTTGGACATCTTCTTCCACTATTCCACACCCCGGGCAGGGTCAGGGCCATATGCAAAAATTGGGAAGAGAAAAGACCCACCTCGCCGATAAGCCAGCGCACTTTGTCCCACGTATGCGGCTTCCCGTGCCAGACACTGTGGTCGATCCATTTGCCCGAGTCGCGCGCGAGCTCTTCGCCATGCTTGCGCATGAACACTGGATCTGAGGTGCCGATTTCGTTTCCTACCTGTTCGGGAATCAGTGAACACCATTCTCTCATATCCTCTGCATGAGGTACTCACACATGCAGGATAGTAGAACCTATGACGCAAAAATTTCAGATACATATGTGGAATTGAGGGAGAGACCGCACGTGTAGTTTGCCAGGTTGATGTCAGTTGGACGCCAGCCAAGCTGCCAGGTGTCCGTCGTCAGCATAAGCACGTCGAAACCTGACTTCCACGCGCGATTCATGAGTGACAGAGTCTGCATGGCCATGATGTCAGTTTGAGCATGAGCAATCGAACAGAAAGTTCCTACAATCTCATCGTCGTGGCCCATGTACATCTGGTAGAATCGTGGGCTCTGTGCGTTCCCACCATTATTTCCTGTCGCATAAGGTCAGATACAGTGGTGCATGATTGAATAGGCAAGCTACTAACCATCGTATTTCCAAACACTGTTGCTCTCGTTCTTTATCGCGGCACCGGCATCATTGGCACGCGCAACATCTTCAATAGGCTGAGACCCCGCAGTGGATAAGCAATACTATGTCCAGACGAGCTTTAGGGCGAGATGGTAGGGTATATGCGCGTGAAAACTCACGGGAAGTCCAAGTTCGCCGGCAATCTTTGCGGGAACAAGCTCGCCTTGTTGATGGTACAGCTTGTTTATCCCTATTGGAGCAAAGAGTATGGGGGCAGGAATACGGTGACCGAAGAGAGTGGCTGGATGATGAGTAGATGTGCGGCGTGAGTTTTGGAACGGAAGAATATTCGATGAAACACGTGATGGTGAAGGAGTCGAATGACGTCACGCGTCGAGCGGGGGAAAGCAGACGGAGGACTCACTAGTGAGGTCGCGGGTGTTGGTGTCGACGAGGGCGCGGGGGACAATGCGCCAGCGGTAGAAAGCCTCCCTGTTTGCGCGGTCGGTCCAGCCAAGACCCGCATTCGAGTTGGCATAAAAGTATGCGCGGTCGCCCAGCTTCTTCTTCGTCGACTCTTGAAGCTCTTCGGGGTGAACAGAGAAACTTGGGACTACTCGTATACCATGAGTTCGGGAATAAGTGACAGAAATGAGAGAGAATAAAGAGACGTACGTTGGCCGGTCTCACCACCGTGCCGGAAAACTTCACGCTGGTAGAGAGAGTAGTGGGGCGAAGGACCTTTGGGCTTGTTTTCTGGGTCCATTGGGAGATGGTGATGTATTTAGAGTACGTGTTGTAGCTGGGAGAATTGAGAGGTTGTTCTGTCGAGACTGACTACTGCTGGGTTTTTATATGCGTCTGGTGCAGCGAAAAGTGCCGTCGTGCCGTCTCGGTCGCTCCTTCTTGATGTGATGTCATTCCAGAGGTGGAGGATCCTTCGGAACAACGGCGGAAGAGCTCTGACGGAGACATAGCAGCGTTGAAGGAGGAAACGCACTCTGCGCTCCACAAGTTCGTCGCGGCCTTCCGTGGTCGTGACGCTCAGCGGCTCTCGACGGGCGCTGGCAGTCACAACGGGCGTCTGCACGCCCTTGTCCTTCGCCGACTTCTTCGGTGAGTATATTGTCAGCCTGACTACAGATAGGTTCTCGGGCAAGTTCTCTGTAAATCATCTAGCATCTAGTGAACCCTAGGATACCGAATCTCCTGTAAGAAAACACTAGTCATCCTACGGTCACAATTTTCCCAGGTCGTCTGGACTTTGGCGTGCTAGTGTCACGGTGTAGTCAGTACCAAGTACACTTCAAGCACCACGGCTAGTCGTCTCGATGGCGGCTCCCCGTACTCGAGAAACACGCTGAGGCCACGTCCGCAGTCGAGTGCTCGACATTCCGTACAGAACCCTGTTGATCCTGTGCCGTCTCTCTAATGGGGTCGTATGGCACGCCGCCCATTCTCGTGCGCCCCTCTCTGTTGACGTGCCTCACCTTTAGTTGTTGTACGTCGTGCGGTGATGCATGAGGAAGTCTTGAAGGCGGAGTCTGTGAATTGTTCGTTTGGCTCATGTTATTTTCGGGAGAAGCATGAGATTGTATACTCATCACCGGGGATGTAGCCATACCGCCAGCCTGCGGAGACCCGTTCGAGCTGTCTGTAAGGTAACGGGAGTCCGTGTTACGCTGGTTTGACCGAGAGGTGAGTTCTCCATGTCGAATATTTGCCGCCAGTGTGTAGGTGCATCACTGGAAGTATTGTCTCCTTATAGCACCCCGATCATCTTGTTGGTTACTGAACTTGTCAGCTATTAAGAATCTAAATTCGTGACAAGCTTCTACAACGAAAAGGTAGGCCAAAAGTGTCGCATGTGATCGGTGAGTCATGCGCCGTAAGATCATCTATGTCTGGCTCGAACGATTGCGGTAGTCCTGCTTGCTGGTATAGCAATCAATTTGACGGAAGAGATTGCGGACCCATATCCGAATTTGGACAGTGTAATGAGATAACCCAAGAATATGTTGGATGAATCCAGAAGATCCACAAACATTCTCACTGTAACCAAAACGTAACGGACACAGTCACCTACAGGACTCATAGTCTAAGAAATCAGTGAAGTTGCCGCCACTGTTACCAGATGTAGAGTTTGATGTTGCAGATTCGCATGGGTTCCTTCATGAACTCAGATAAGAAGAGGGATGATATCCACTATGTCTACAATCCATTGTCGCTACTCTTCTACTGACACCTCTCCCCTTCTCCCGCTTGTGCCTCGGATAACACACTCCAGACCCCTCCCTAGGATATCAGCTGCGCTGCTCCAGCCTAGATGTAGGATTTACCGCTACCCTGATCGCCAATACTTCCTGGATCGGCTTTCTCACCAGCATGGCATTGTTCCACCTGGATCACAAAGCATCAGCTGCCAGCGCCACCACAGGTGACAGTTTATATGCATCGGTGTCGCTCTTATGGACTACCGATCAGAGCACTCGCTTGCTGCGCCGAAATGTCACATCATGAAAGTCGTCTGAAAGTGCGTAAATTGTATCCAAACAGTGTGATATCGATACAAGGCTCAAACGTCTTCTGTTTGTAGACAACAGCATCACCTTAGTCGAGTTTCGTCGCATACTTATTCAAGGCTTGTCGTATCTCTCCAGCTCCAGTTTTCACGGGAACAAGCTCTTTCTTCAAGCCCTATGACATCTCAATACGTCAACATGAGTGAAGTTGAAAGTGATAACCGGATCCCACCTCAACAACCTTCTTCCGGTTGATAGCGTTGGCTTCTTTGAGGACGTCGACAATATGAGTACTTTCTCCGATTACCTGGACAGGCTGTCTCAATGTCGACAAGAGGAAGACAACGGCGCGACCTACAAGGGCCTCGATTTCGTTGAACGCGTCTTTCACACCCGGAGTACTGTCTAGGGGGTATTTGTTCGAGGGGAGTTCTCCCTGCAACGAGCGCACATTTATCAAGAACCTCGAGGAAACTGCCAGAGAAAACGAACATCTAACAAGCTGTTGAATTCTTTGATAACGTCTTTTACATCACCATCAGTCGTGACATCTTCTAACATCGAGATGAAGACTTCGACAAAGCCTGCAGGAGAAAATATGTCAAGGTACGAGCTGGAGTATTAGTAAGAGGTCTGACTTAGGTACCAAGCCGAGATGGAAGAAGCAGCGTCGCGGGTATCCTGCAAAGTTTTGACCCAGCGCTAAACTTTACTGGTTCAAACTCGTTGCGAAAGTATCATTCGGAAAAGAAACGTACACTGCTGAACTGCTCTAAGCTGGCCTGAAGCTCTGACACAAGTTGGAAATTAGTGACGTATTTATCGGCGAAGTCTGCAGCATCCCGTTTGGCACGAGCAACGCCCTTGTCGATGGTGATCCCTTCGTCAGAAAGGCCATTGATCTTGACGATGAATCGCTGCGGGTTCGCGAGTAAGGAGGTGTGAACCATATTTGGTTTTATCAAGAGACGAGCGACGGCGAGAGATACTGGGGATACATAGTATCATCGGACTAATATTTATACTGTGTGGAAGCTCAACCGAACCTCCTCTCAAACCGATTTTTCTTGCAGGAACTGGCTCAACTTCCAAGTGACAGATTCCTTATGGATCTGGACTCCAAACCCACTCCCGAGTCACGCCTCGGTAACTTTATGTAAAGCATAAGTGCCATGCATTCGTGATGTCAAGTAACTTGCTCTGCAAACATAAGCGGGTATCCGTATTTGACACTAAATATTGTGTTGACGCCTTTCTAATATGCTTACCTCAGGAACCATCGAACTTGAAGTGAATGCCATGCCAAGCGTCACCTGCATGGATGTCGGAAATAAGTTCATGCCGATTGTGTCAAGCGCTATGCGTTTGAGATGGCTCAAGGCACTTGCCCTGGAACTATAGGCACGAACTCGCGTCCATTTCTAACACCCATTCTATTCTAAACGTCTTTCATAGTATGTTGGAAAGAACTTACGCCGACATTGCCAATCAAGTGTATGCGTTCGTGATGCCAAGCAATGGTCTCATTCTTACTATTAGCACAACACTGTCAGGGCTATAAAGCTCATGGCTAGTGCATTCTGTTCAGGGACAATTGATGGATGGGTCGGCGACCTGCCAGCACCGCCGTCAACACTGAGAGGAGCTCGTGGGATGAATTCATTGCCTCAGGGGCTCACTGTCAAACAAACTCGCGTCGCAGTGTAAGGTCCCGTAGAGCCTGGTCGACACTTGACATCTCGGTAGGTTACCTCTAGTTTGGTATATTGAAGTCGATCAATTTCTTGCTCCACAAACACGAGTATGTATTCCCATTCATTGAGTAGTATAATTCTAGCCTCCTATGAAGAGCGTCAAACGTGAACGAATTTCATTTCAGGCGTCTTTCATGGTATGTCGGAACGACTTGAATGCCGATCGCACGCTAACGATATCAGTTCGCGGCGTCAACCAACTTGCTCTGTAAACGCAGGTACGTATTCGCGTTCGACATCTATTGTTCTGTTCGTCTCTTTCCAACATTTGTACCCCTGGTGGTACGTCGCAATGGGTTTATGCCAAACTTCCAGACAAGGCCATTAGAGCGGCTTGAAAATTTGCCGGTGTTTAGCTTTGTACAGCAGATTACCACGAATGTCTGTGGAATATCCAGTACAATCCATTAGACCAAGAGTCCCTGAATATAAAAGCCGTGCTTTGACATCTAGTTTCCACAACATTCTCGCTTGCACTTATCTCTGATCTATTGGACATGGCCGCTGTTGCAACCCTCAGCTTTGTAGAAGCCCAGAAAGTTCTTGACACTTGGGCAGTGACAGGTGGACCGACTGAGCAAGAACAAATCCAATACGCGAACGCTGCGCTCAAGGAACTAGACAACGAAGATCAGGTCAAGAAATTTCAAGACAATGTTAAGCAGGTCGGTGTTTGGGCCAATCAACTTGATACGGCTTTCGACCACGTAACTCGCGGCTTCGAGGACATGGTTGCGAAGTACGGCAAAGACTTCCCGGATATTTCTGCCTACCTCAACGAATGGAAAGGCTACAAGGGGGTGAGATCTGACTTTCGTCTGGGTTACACATTCTGACAGTTTCAACGACTAGAACTGGGTGCAATATCTATTGGACTCGCGCGATGTCGCGTCCAAAAACATCACACTTCTCAAACGTGCGTTGCTCATAGTCTTCCTCTGGGTGCCATTAATCATTCCATACAGGCTTTGACCAGATTTTCCTTGACATGGTGGAAAACATTCAGACTGATCAGGATCGCCTGGATGTCATGAAGGAACTTGAACAATTTATTGTTTGTTTCCCTCCCTCGCCGTGACCTCCCGTATTCATAGACGTTTCTTCTATAGGACGAAAAGCATGATGATTCTGTGCAGTTGTCACAAAATTTCCTTAACCTGAAACGTGATATCGAGGCCTTTGTCGACAAATTTGACCAGTGGATTGTCGAAAAAGGAGTTGAGCTTGAAGTGGAAGCGAAGCAATTGAAACAGCAAATTGCAGGTCTTCAGGGAGAAGTCGAAACGTAGGTTCCTTCCTGTTTTGTCGTGATTAGATCTCATGGAAAGCATTTCAAGTTTGGACAAGAAAGTTTGTTTTTGATGTCAAATTCTACCAGCTGTAAGCTGAGATATTTCAAACCAGATCAAGGATGCCACTACCGCACTCGCGATTACTGGCGGGTGTCTTTGTGTACGTATTTGTCTCTGCATTTGGACTTTATTCATGACAATCGTTTCCACAATGTCAGATTATTGGAGTAGTTGTCGCTGGCTCTGTTCTTGCTGTATATCAATCGCAGCGTAATAGTAAGTGCCATCATGGATATACTAGGCTATCTACTCTCGTTTGGCAACCATCCTTACACTACATCAGGTAAGGTGGAGGAACTTCAAGTCAAACGAAATGCACTCGAGGACGTCAACCGGAAGCAACAAAATCTAGCTCACCTCAAAACCGAGTTCGATGGCTTCAAGCCTGATATTTCGTTAATTTGCGAGAAGCTGGTCTTATTTGCCGAAATATGGTCTTCGGTGAGTCTATCCGTTCAATAGCAATGTTACTATCGGCTAATACGAGCAATGTAGGTTCGTAGCCAAGCTGTACAATTCCAGGAGCATATCAAAGGAGGAATGGTCGCACTTACAAGCCTTGTAGGCCTTTTCTTTTCCCGTTTATTTATGGGTTGCTTGACTGATGATTTTGCAGAGGTTCAAGAGGGAGGTTCAACTCGCCAGAGCAGTATCTAAGCCCCTCATGGAAGGTCTGGCGAAATATGCCACTGAACTCGACAGCCGTGGTAAGGCAAACAAGTAATAGTCCATTAGATGATGTAAGATGATGTATTGTACATACCCTCGCTCTCGTTATGGCGTGAACGTTGAATATACTCAGTTCTGCTGTTGGGCCTCTGATAAACTCGCAATTCGGAACACCCACTATCCACTTAGGCAGTTGTTGATGAGGTTCAAAAACGATAGCTGTTTCACGAGACCAATCAGCGTGAACGCGCGCCCGATGTGCCCGGGCGTCGTGTTCATACCTGTCTGCCGCCGCACTGCAGACAGAGGTACCCACTCGCCGCGTTCGAGTAGCGAAACCTGTTCACCGCGCTCGGACAGCGACACCTGCCCACCGCGTTGCGCAGCGAATTGGCCCGCCGCGTCCGGGCCTACACTCACTGTCCCAATTAGGCAGTTGTTGGCCACTGTGAACCGACCGTCACCGACGTGACCACCGTTGACAAGGACAGCACCAAGCGTTGCTCTAGGAGTATCCTCAAATTTCGACTCTTGGGATCGCTTTATTGATTTATTTATATTCTATGTGGAACGCTGGTATTAATGCGAAAATTTTCAAGTATCTATCGTGCGGGAAAAGACACTTCAACGAGATAATGGGCGGGCGACATGTCTCTATTACTGGACAGGTTCTCATATTCATTCTCTAGCCTCAAGACGAGAAATGGTGCGTCATATCAATCTTTCAAGCCCTCTCTTCTTTACATTGCCCTTATGCCACAAACAGCGAAATGACTTCTCTATTCAACGTCACGAAGAGCAAACAAAGTTTTGCGGATCCGTTAGGAATGGAAATTGAGACAGCTATCGTGCGTTTTCAAAAGAGTTGAAAGTCACGACCTTTCCTCACTAAGCTCCAACACAACTTCAAGATTTCTCATTTTCGGGCTATTCAAGGGCTACAGCTTGATTCGAGCTCTCGTGATATAAGAACCCCCATACCAGGTATTCAATATCGCTGTTGCGGATGAGTCCGCATTCCCAGCTGGAATCCTAGATTACCGACTTTCTGGATCACAGAGTTGTGTCTGCTTTTGTTACTCCAGCTACACATTGCCGCAATTTGTTTTGAGCAGCTACGACCACGACCAAGGTCCATTTCCAAAATGACACACTTCCGTTTGAACTTTCTGACCGAGGTCTTTGGAACGCATTAGGTTCGCTCATGTATGTTGTTGAGGCGCAGGTATGCAATTGAATTAGTTGGAGTAGTGTCGCGCAAGATCCATTTTGTCGACAGAATGGAAGTTTTTTGGAGCATCCCCGAAGTCCCAACATTTGAATAGTCTCAATACATCCATCCTGGCTACCAATGCCTAACAACTTCTTGGTCAGGCAGGCACAGAACTAACAGCACTCTTCAAGCGTTCCTTGAACACCAAGGGTAAGCTTGCTTCCGCTAATGTCAACCCACGATGTGCCCTGACGCAGGTGGTCAGGCCTCAGGGCGTGTTTCAGCAATACCAAGAAAAAATGGAGGACTCTGTTTCCCCTGAACTTTGTATAGGATTCTAGGCTGCTCTCAGCCTGTAAACGAGAAAATGTCGTCAAGGAGGGTGCCTCGCCTGCGTCCCTCCTACACCTTGACATCGGGACGTGCCTCTGCGACATGCAGGTCCTTGTGACGCGAGCGGGTCCGAAGTGATTCCGGTCATTGTTACTCATCTGACAGGTCCTTAAAAGACAGGAGATGAATCGGTACCTGAAGAAATGTTACTTTGGTTAATCTACTCCAACACAAGTCATCATCTACACGACTTAGCTAAGTCGAATATGGAAAATGGGCCATATCGCACCCTATGCAAGACCCGGAATCTTGAAGCCCACTCCAGATAGGACAGATGTTTTGATGATGTCAAGTTGTCAGTGTCCTCCAGGGTCCAGAAACTCTGTAAGAAAATTATCTAGCACTCCAATGTTCCTCGCTGGTGGGAGCTTGACCGGTCCAGTGTTCAACAAGATATCGGAATTATGATCATAGCGATAATCCATGATTGACGCGCGTCGCATACACGATCATGCGACCAAGGCCCTCCAGAGCTTTTGGAACTATCCTATCAGACGTGTTCGCAGGCCTCCTACGGAAACTACGCGCCTGGAGAACTTGACCCTTTGGCTCAGCATGAAGTATCAATTCGGTTCAGCTGACAATCCAATTCAGCACATTGCAGGTGCCAGAGGACCTTGAAATTCATCTCGGCCGTCATCTTGCTCGCATTAAAGCTCGGTTCACTCAACCACTTGGAATACAGTGCCATTGCCTTACCCAACCCCCACTCGTATTCGCGTACTTCAGCCTCTTTGCGTTCGATATGGCGACTACATCTCCACCATCTTACGAGGAAGCCCTCGCAGAGGCCACACGCTTGCTAGCCCAACCTCTCACCGTCGACGAAAAGATCGAATTCGCCAAAGCAGCCATGAAGGTCCTCGAAGACGACGAGCAGGTCGAGCAATTTGAAAAGGATATCGAGAATGTTGGTATAGCCGCCATTCAGATTGACCAAGCCTTCGACCGTGTCAATCGCGGCTTCAAAGACATGGTCGACAATCGCGGCCGCGATTTCCCAGAGCTTGCCGGTTATAAAAGGGAATGGGAAGGCTATAAGGAGGTAAATATACCAGCCATTTACCATTCTCCTTTCGAGTTTGCTCACATATAGTTGTTTCTAGCGCTGGGTCAGGTACCTGTGGAACTCCCGGGATGTAGCATCCGAAATGAGTGCAATCCTCAAACGTATGACCCAAGTTGTGTCCGCGGGTTCTACCTTTTGACGGCCCTTATTTGTAGGATATGACCAAGTCTTTCTTGACTTGATTGAAAATATAAAGACTGATAAGGACCGTGAGGACATAATCCAGGAGCTTGCACAGTTTAGCGTAAGTTCACGAAGATTCTAGGTTGATGCATTTTATTGACTATTTGCCGTGTAGGGAGAAAAACACGGAACTGCAGCGCAAATGGCGATCAATTTCAGGAACCTCGAAATGGATGTCAGGCATTTTGGCGAGAGATTTGAAGCATACTTAGAACAGAAGAAGGTGGAACTCGACGTACTAGCGACAAGCTTAAAGGCCAATATCGATACACTCCAAGGACAGATCACGAGGTGTGTATTTCTGTCTCACTTGACGCTGTTTGTGTTAACAACTCACGCATCTTCGCAGCTGGAATGAGAAGGCATGTTTTCAGTCTTATTAAGATTTTTTAAAATCAACATACGAATATTTCATCTAGATTACTGCTACTCTTCTTGCAATGGGTGCCACCTTAGCATTTTCAGTATGTTTCCAATTCTTGATCCCGTGAGATTGAATAACGGTTCTTTTTGGCTGCACAGTTCTGGACCTTGATCATCACCGGTACAACTCTCGCGTACTTTATTGTCCAACGCGTCAGTGAGTGCTTAAAACCGGGCTGATGATGAGATTAGTGTCGAAACGCTTTGTACACATTTCTAGAGGCAGAAAGGGATCTCAACGCCAAGAAGACCGAACTTGCAGAAGTCAACCGCAAGCAAAGGGCACTGGCGGAACTCAAGACCAAATTCGACGGTATGAAACCAGACATTGCACTTATCTGCGAGAAGCTCGTGATTTTCGGCAACATTTGGCAATCAGTGAGTCACTCGTGTTCATCCGACCGAAGTGATTCTGTGCTGATACAGTCGATATCAGGTCAGCGCTCAATGCGCGGCTTTCGGAAAGCATCTCGAGAAAGGTATGGACGCCCTTAATGACGAGGTAAGCACCCGAATTGAGCCTTGTATTGAACGATTGAGCTAACCGGAGCAATTAGGAATTCCGGCTGCAAGTCAAGCTCGCTAGGAAGACGTGCACTCCCCTTCGTAACGGGCTTACCAAGTATGCGACATCGCTCGATCGATCTCCTCTCCGTAAGTCCTGAGGCGCTGGCAACTTCGAAGGGAATACAGGAGGATCCCGTGTGTTTATTGTTAATTGTGTTGTGCTACTATGTCCGTTATCCCATCGGATATAAATTTTACGATCGGCCCATACACCTTTTCACGACCACCAAATACATGAAAGCCGCCAATGTTATTACCTCTGATTTTCGTTCTCATGATATTTCCCTAGAGCCTAAACAAACACGTAGAGGATCAGCATCACAATCGAATTACCCATATGACCCATTATAAGCATACTACTTAATATCAATCGCACCGATATATCTGACAAAATCCAACATCCCCAAACCATCGTTTTGAGATCAAGGCCCCTAGTTCCTGGTAGTTCCCCTTCACTCTTCGGCTCGGGTACCTCGCGGCCAACTTTGTAACTCTATGCACATACATGTTGACCCAGGACGTGGTGTCCAAAAAGCCATGCGTTGATGCTTGATAACGTTTGGGCCAGTCTCACTAGCGTCGGCTGTGTATTCCACATTCCTAGATAGGGTTTTGGTACATTTTGGATGGTATATTTTGGATTCCTTGCTAAACGTACTGCCCTACGATTGCCAATACCTTTGAGGGTTGAGAAGCAATGTGCTGCCCGATGAGACCAACGAGGGCGCGTCGAGATCAGGGCATTTAACCAGACACGGCGCTGATTCTGAGGTCTACGAACGAGCATTCATTACTTGGGAAAACTCTGATAAACCAGTTAATGAAGCGCGAAGAGCGTAGTAATTAGACATACCGCCACAGAAAGCCCTCGCAGGCTAGCAGGAACGAAGTATCCAATCATGATGATCTTCCACGAGGCCGATAATTTCTTTCGATGGTCTTCTGCAGCCGCATATCCTCCTTCTGCATTTTCATGAGCAATGATGAGAAACCACGCCTTCTTCCCGCACCTATGCTCTGCGGATAGCTCGCCTTCAAGCTTCACCAGTCCCTTTTCGGCCGACGAATGCTCCGAACTGAGGGTCGATTGAATTGCGTATACGCCATCATTCGTGCAAAGAGCAGCATCAATACCAGGATAGTCTGCGATCGATGGAAGATAATAAAATGGTGCTCGAGTAAACTGGAGCCTTCCCGCGGTAGTGATGATAAGATCAGGAGGGATAGGTGTCAAATTTCCAGGCGACACTGTAGGCGCGGTATACCATGCAAAAGGTGTGCCCCCATCTGTCAGCGATGTATGGGCTAAACGTTCGAGCAAAACTAGCAATACCACATGAAGTAGCATGTCGAGAAAACTGCTGGAAGAGTGTGACTTGTTCAGTTGCGGTCTTGGCAAGTACAGCTTTGCACATTTCTGCGGAGTCCTCGGCGGCTGCAGGCACGAATGATTTATATTCACCTCGGGGCAAGTCGGCTTCGGGTTTGGGGCGTATCCACAACACAGGAGAATAAGCACTGGGCATAGATGAAGACCTAGCCAACAGGCTCGATGAGGCACGTTTGAAATCTTCCACAAATGCTCGTGCAGCATGCTGGATGGATGCAGAAGCTTGTTGTACTGCGTATGGGTCTTTGTAGGCTCGAACAAGACAACGAGGTGATGGACCCCATCTAGAGGAAAAGTCAAGAATCTTCTGGATTGCGTGCTGCCCCCATAAACAGTGTCTATTCATAGTCAGCTAAGTTCGGCATCTGCCAGTATCAGAGAGCATACGCAAGCGCGGCGAGTTCATTCTTCTCCCAAACATCCATAAAGGATTGCCTTGCCGAAATTTGCTTCATCCATCCTTTCCAATGAAAATCACAAGAAGCAGTCTGGATTACGCGAGACGTGGCTCCATAACTGAAGGCCCAAGCAGGTATAGCGATATCAGGATGAGAATCAGATAGACACCAGACATCAGGGTGTTTAGCGAGACAGGTGGATCTGTCACTTAATGATGTGGTGACATTGTGCTCATCAAGTAGAAAATAGAGGGAATTTTGTAGATGAAGAGCCACTGGCAAACCAACCCTCATGCGTTCTATAAGCAGGTAGACCAAGAGGTACGATTTCCTTTGGAAGCCGCAGTCCGTACGTCATGTTGCAAGTGACATAACACAACTTTCACTCACCTATCCCTGGCTGCCCGATAATAGATACACCTTTAAGATACTTCATGGTCGGGCCAGACTGGAATACGCCGATCAAGTACTCCCATGCATTAACGTACTCCCACCAAATGAGCAGAAAGGGTTCAAGGGAGAGACCCAACTGTTGGACAGACAGGCGTGCGATGGGCACGCAGGTCGAGGTACTTGTATTCGTGTGTTCCACCAGCGACATTGACGACCCCTGAGCCCAGAAGAGCGTCAGGGTTCATCCAGACAGCGTCGCGCAGGTCATTCAACGCAGCTATATGATTAAGTTTAGCATCTACAAAACATGATCAGTCGGATGGCTGTAAACAGAGGAAAATTGCGTACCGTAGCTCATGTTTAACGCGTATAGAAACAGGGACTGATATGCTCGTCTCGGTCAGCCACAAACACACTGTGTCGTTCCGAGCCGCCTGGGTCGAGGGTCATGTGATTTACTTACACCGTGCCTTTGCCAATCTACCCTCCTCCTCACAGAGACCGCTCGTCGAGTGAATCGATCTTGAGTTGGCTCGCGGAGACAATACACAGAATATGTAATCGGTTCTGAATGGCAGCGGATGAGTTGAACCAATTGAAGTGTCTACATGCAATAGGCTTAGACGGCGTTCTACCTCAAGTTGGCGATCTCGACAAACTGAGCTTCAACTTCGGGGAATGTGCAAGCCGTCGTATATGCACGGCTTCAGCCCATCAAGAACCTAGTTTCGGCTTACTGATGGTATACAGCTGTATAAACGGCTCTGTATCACTTCATATTTACAGTTCCTCTAGACAAGTTTGTTCCTCGAGCGTGACGAGACAGCTATTGAATTCTGAGTAGGTTGTAGAGAAGATTCATTATTCAATAGGGATATATAATTAGTTTCAAGAGGGAGAAGGCTGCTATTGATACAAATTTTAGAGTGTGTGTATGGTTGTCAGCTTACCACATGGCACAAGCCGGCATCTAAGTGGTATATTGTTTTCCATGCATATTACGGGTATCAGGTGGCTCGCCCCGGCCGGAAATCGGAGACCGATACTTCAAATGAGTCGTCCTGTTCTAACGTAAGACACTGAGCGGCCAGTTCATCCAGGAAATATTGCTTTGAGGGAGAGTAATCTGGGACTTTGGTAGAAGGCCTACGATGGTCGCCCATGCTGACGTAGTGTAGCTTCCGGATTGCTGGACGGAGGGGACAAATAAGATTTCGGGTTCAAGATTGGTTAGTGCATCATGAATACTCACGGCGTTGTTTCCTGAGCCGCACGTCCTTGAACTTGATGCGCCTTCAATTTAAAAAAAAATTACTGATATATACTGGCATGGCGTTACAATGGACTTACATCCGACTGAAGCCTCGATGTCGTTGGATTTCCGATGTCGACATTCTGCCGTAGGGGTCAATGACCAGCATCTGACATTAAAGCAATGAGTGTCTAAAGGCGATCAGATGCGGCCTTACTCACACCTTGGAGGAGATCAGACATATCCGGACGACCCATTACTTCAAGGCGCGCAAACGTTTCCTCAACACGAGCACTTAAGCTAGCCAGGAACTCATTCCTCGATACGTTTGGACCCTTCACAAAAGATGACTGCACATCTCATCAGCAATATACTCCGGCTGCGATTGACCCATAGTAGCACGCACTATACCCGTGAATACCTCCGCAATCACGACGCCGAGCGACCACAGGTCTACAGACTTGTCATACCACTGCCATCTCCGCGTAGGCTCAGAGAGCAGCTCCGGAGCGGCGTATTCGTCTGTCCTGATCGCGTCGTCCGTATCGCATCGACGGAGAACTCCACGGTCTAGTTCGCGGCATGCGCCAAAGTCTCCCAGAAGGCAGTGCCCTTCATTGTCGACGAGGATGTTTCCTGGTTTGATGTCATGATGCACGAAGCCTTGTTTATGAAGCCACTCCAGCGCAAGAACCTATCATGATGCTAATTAGATATCGCTATACGCCATCACAAGTGGTCGACGCGTACCAACTCTGCTGTAAGGAGCCATACCTCCTGATCGGTGAGGTAGCCTACGTATGACCGCAGGTCTCCTCCAGGGCAGAATTCCTATCAAGGAATGTACGCGATTAGGCCCTATCTCGCGCACGGGTAAAATATCAGCCCACCGTCAGCATATGCACGTAGCCCAGCGAGGTATGCCACGCCCAGAGCCGGTGGTCCAAATATGGGCGGAGCAGAAACGGCTGTGGCTCCTCCGCGAGGCGCTGCAGGATTCTCAGCTCCGCCACAAGCCCACGGCACTCAGGCGGCGAGAAGTCCCTAGTGTAGTGCACGACCTTCATCGCCATACTCTGACGGCGCACGACGTCCAGGACAAGGTACACTGCCCCAAATGCGCCTCCACCAAGGTATCCGCCCGGGAGAAATGGTTTTGTGGTCGGAGTGACCGCGTCGGCGCGGCCACGCACCCATCGTAAGGATGAGGCGGGCCACCATATAGACGTCTTGTGGGTGCTCGGGCCCGGTGTCGAGGTGGAGTTAGAGTTGGATACGTTACCGAGTTGGAGTGTGGTTAAACCCTTCTGGGTATCCCTCTGGGCTGTTCGTTTCACGGTCGCCCTGTACAAAGGGAGTTGATGAGATTGCGGCGTATGCGAGAAAAATAGCATATACCTGCGTACTGCTGATTGCACTCGATTCATTACACCCTTTGGCGAGGATTTATCACTCCCATTGGGCGAGACTGGCTCAGACGAAGAGCTCGATCCGGCATCCGCAGTAGTAGACCAGTCATCGGCCTGGCCTGCTCATTTTGTTCGTTGTACAACCTCGCAGACAAAGAGTTGCGAGATGGAGCTCACTATATGCCACGGAAGAGCGCAATTGTTTAACTTTCTCGTTTGTTGGGCTATCGGAAGGACCAGAGGCATCGTGGCGAGTGTTCTGCAATAGACGTTTTGCCTTCTTGATGAAGCTTTCGAACATAGCAGAGGTCGTGAGAGGTCGTGATATGAGGATAATGGGTATACCGTAACGTGCCCGGCCACCCTGATCGAACGCGTTGCTGTCACTTTATATGCCTGTCGCCACCGGTGGTCAAAGCGTCGCATCGAAATCCTGTGTGCGCGCCACTGGGACAGAGTGCATATGGGCCTGCTAAAGCGTGGGCGATAGGATGAGTGGCGAAACAAGACCTATGCAGCGTGCCTTGAAGGACAAGCATGTCCATCACGGGCACCAGCAAACAATAGTCACGTCTAGGCAAGTGATTAACGATTCCACAGATTGATGTTGCGCGTTATAAAGATGAGATCTTGTTGGAGCACCGATAGCAGCTTGCATTGACGGTTTCACCAAGATGAATCGCACTTACATGCGAGCTATAGACCTATCAGTTACCGCCACACCATAAGACTCGAGTGGCGAAACCCTATATGAAACCAGTAATCCTTCAGTATGGCAAAGAGAACTAGATTTTAAAGGATCTTGAGTTGTTCGAGATATTACTGACAGTGCACTCTTCAGGAATCTGCGGCTGAGTTGGCTTCGCATGATGACCAGTAACCACAAGAGGGCAACCAAGATCGATGTTCGGACACAGAGGTGATTGATACCGAAAGAATACAATACAATGCAATAGAAAAATGGCTTGAGCCATACATCTTCATGCAATTTGAAGTGTGAGATGGGTTCCGCAAACCAAACTACAGGCATTGGAGGCAACATAACGGCGCCTGGCGAAGAGCAGGGCATTCACCCACGTGACCGTATGCTTACTTTCGGCCTCCTGGCCGAGAGGTCTACATATTGCTCCGACGCCGCTTTCTGTTTCCTCCCTCTTGGAACTTCCGCTTTCCTGTCTTCTCTACCACTACCATCACCTACAAACCGTTCTGCGACGATGGCTGCTGCACCTACAAAACAAGCAATCCTTGAGCTGTACAAGAACACCCTTCGCACATCGAGAGCATTCAGCTCGTACAACTTCCGGCAGTACTTTGTGCGCCGGACAGAGGGTACCTTCAGGGAGATACAGGTGAGATATCTATACTTGTGACAAAGTCACAGGTGGCATCATAAGTGCTAGTATTGACGACGTGAGACACAGGAAGAGACCGATCCTGCCAAGCTGACGACGTTCTACAATGACAAGACGAAAGAGCTAGAGGCTCTTAAGCGTAGTGCCATTGTCAACCAGCTTTATGGTGGCTGGAAGCTGGTTGTAGAGAAGGACAGTGTAGAGAGAGAGCGAAGCGATAACTAGGCATTGGGATACCATTCACTCACGCCAGAATTGTATGTTGATGGGCTCTTTTCCAACATCGTACTGAACATTGATATCGTGCGCATGACCTTCATAGTCTATAGTGCACTTGGCTGTGCGCTAGTGGGAGCGACTAGTCCGGGGTCCGCTGACGTTGTATATAAGTAAGACGTGTCGCATGTATGTCTTGTGGTGGTATTGTTAGATTGACTTTTAGTGTTCTTTTGCAAGACTGTGTCGGATACTGGGATTTGCATTCTTCCCGTCTTTGTACCATCGCGTTGCAGGCCTGCATACATTGATGTTTAGTTGATGTTAAGTGATGGCCTTGTCCGAGCCATCTTATCAGATAATAGTCGGTGGCTACGGGCGCTCACTTGAGTTGGGGTGCGCGTATACTTTTGGACCACCCATTGTGCTTGAGCCACTCGTTGACGGCACTCGGTACAACCGGGCGACATTCTTCTGTAGAAAGTCCCTGTTGAGCGTTGGTAATCTCTTCATGTCTATAAAATAAGTGGGTTGATCGACCCCATCATAGCTCGCCACTCATCGCTCATGCGATTGAAATTGTTGGAATGCCGCCACGAACAAACGACGGGTCTTCCAGTACAAAATTGGAATGTTCAGGAGAAGTTAGCAGCCAGGTGCGTGTGTAGAATCAAGGGTTTAAGACTCCGCGAGCAAATGCGAGGGTCTACCACAGCTCCGTCCGCCACACCTGCCACACAAATCATTGGGGTCTTGTCCTAAAATGGGGCCTCGGGGAAATTAAAACCTATTGTTCAAATTTCCCCACTGCTTCACTTCAACCTCCAACGCTTGGGCCGTCCATCCACAGACTTTCCTGCAGACCACACACACTATTGCTCGCCACATCCAACGCTTTGACCTCGATCATGGCCCGCATATTATTGACCGATGATGCCGATCCAATGGTATGCGCTTTTCAGTGGCCAGAATATCCACTTGCGAGCTGAATGGCCCGTTACACTCCAGCCCGCACAAAAAATAGAAAACACCACGGCTTCTCACAGATGCCTTTTCATCTCAGAGTTATTTGAAGCCATCGCTCGCCACGTATTCTGCGATGGGGAAGGTCGCGGATCCATTGTGAGTCTCGCGGTGACCTGCATCAGTTTTCGCGATGCTTCCCTTGGCATCCTCTGGGAAGAACTGGATAGTATCGTCCCATTGTTCTGCTTGCTGCCTCGACATGTCGTATCTAAACATCTAGCTCTGGACACCGAAGAGTTTACGGTAGGCTCACAGGTCTCTCAACTGCCGATATACGTTAACAAAATTGATCAAATGTAGGGTTGGCAATGGGCCTTTAGCAAGCCCAGCTCTGACATGCGTCGTATAATGTATTACAACAAATTTATCAAGCATTTCCATTGGAAAGGAAGTAGTGAAATTGCCATAGAACCTCTTCGATGTTTCTTTGCAGCTTCCTCAGCTTGCACCCTCTTCCCTCGTATTAGGTCCTTCCACTGGCACGGTTGGGGCTTCCGTATGATAAGGTCGCCCTCAAGTTTTGTCAATTCTCTTCTCGAAGATCTGCGCATTTCGGCGGACAAAGAGGATTCTTTTGCCATCAGCTGTGTTCTGAACTCGGTACGGATGTTCTGTGACAACCTCCGTGTCTTCCACTTGGTTCCTCGCGGCTGCGAACACACACAGAAACGCCCACACCAAGGCGAATGGCGATCTCCTTACACTGGGCTTGTCGAGGATCAGGTTTGCGCCTTGGTTTGTCAAACAAATCTCGTCGAATTTCGATCGACATGTGCTTTATCGGTGGAGGGCATCGTCGCGTTAGCACGAATGCCAAATCTTCAGAGAGTAGAGCTCCGCCTGCCGGAAGACAGCCGTGATCAACGCGAGGTTGTCCGCCAGTTTCCTCAATTACCTTTCATATCGGTGAAAGAATTTCGTGTACACACAAATTTTCTTGCAGGGCCGACACTGGACTTCCTAGGTAGCGCACTGATCAGTGGCACTCTATCCCTGTTTGCTATCTGGGTTTTTTATCCGCCTAGTGAGAAAGAAACGAAGATACTCTGCAAGACGCTCCGCGGTCAGTGGAGGCCCCGAAGATGTCTCCATCGAATCTATTGCTATCTCGGTCACCAGTCATTCTTTCAACCACCGGACCCTCCTCAGCTTCCGGTCTGGTACGTCAACTTGGAAGTGATACAGCCCTTGCTTGCGCTGCCAATAACGGACATAGTGATCTACGCAGCACACGTCAAGTTCGTCACCCGGCAGCATAACGAAATAGAGTCCTGCACAGAGATGGCGAAGGCGTGGCCGCACTTGAATACCGTTTGGATGATGCCCAAAGATTCGGATGACATGACGCCCCTCTCGGCTATGGTACCGTTCGTGGAACATTGTCGTGAGCTCGAAAACATTGGCTTTTGTGTCGCACCGTCTCCGATACCTGTGGTCCCTGATGAATGGACATCCTCTTCTCGCGTCTCTACACATGCTTTCTTCTCTAGTTTGTCGGCAACTGATGAGGAGAGTGATCACATCAACGACTTCATTGCGATTCTTTTCCCTATCTGGGGCGCAGAACGCGCCAGACTGAACGAAGAGCTCGCCGAAGGCCCTGACGCGCAGGAGCTGCGGCGGGGAGAGGAAGATGCCGAAGATGAGAATGATGGCATGGATGAAAGCAATGGCGAGCAAGACGTGCTTGTAGGCGACGATGGCAATGGCACGAGTCGCAGCGAAACTCGCGGAAAAGTTAATCTGCTTACATGCAGCTGGAAAACATTGCTTAAGAAGCTTTCCAAGGTCCGTGCTCCGTGGTGAATTATGAGTATCTTCATTGAGATTGTGTGTACTTTACGATTTTTCATTCTCACCCATGCTCGAAGTGTATATGTTGTAGCCCTGTACTAAATCTGCAACATTTAGATCTATGACTACATAGAATGTATTGATGCTCTGTATTTCGCCTTTGCTATTTCGCCCTCGTCTTGTATTTACGAATTTTGTTTGAGTCAAATTGTGATTATTCATGCTTTGACGGCCTACAAAACTTGAATAAAATGCTATTTCTTTTTTTGTAGATGTCTGGTCTGCCCCTTGAGCGCGTATTACTATTCGCGCCACCGCGTGCCACGGTGTATTCGATCGGCGATCCTATCAACTGCGATCAATGCCGGCGCTTTTCCGAACTTCGAAGCGTCCGCTTTGCCTCTTCGCGACGTCTTTTGCTTCCGCCGACTTGTGTATCATAGCAGCAAAGCTTACTTACAAGAACGTAAATATTACACGACCAGTAGACA